CGAATGAGCACGGAATGAAAAAAGACGAACTCCCAACGAAGGTATTCCCGGGAAATCGAAGGGAGACCGGTTCCCAGAGTGCGGGGTCCACTGTAACAACCGCATTCTGCTTCGGGCTGCGAGGTGAGGGGAAGTCAAACTCGAAAGCCATGGAAAGCTATCTTCGCGCTCTAATTTATCTGAATTTTCTCCTTTGGCCAATCGATAAAGAGTTGATGTAGCTTTTGAACGTAACTTTATCGAGCAAGACATGACAGACAGACTGACTGATTGCAGCAGTGAACACCGGGGGCATGGCCCCCGGCGCGAAGCGCCATTCGGGGGGCCTCACCCCAAAAAGACTGCCGAAACTCTGGTAGCCTGTGCGGGCCACAGCATGCGCAGGGCTAGAAGACTCTGCCACAATCGCACGCGACGAGCTTGTCCAAATGTCACGGAGCTTTACAGGATAAGTGTCTCGAAACCTGGGCTCGCTCAGTCGCAAATGCCGCAAACTTCCCGAATGAAATTCGATTACACTAAGACATTCGTCTAGTGTGTTGTGATCGTTGTGTTCCACTCTCGCCACCCAGGCATCATGACCCAGCAGGTCAGTGTCAGTGCTCTTGTTGGCGCTGCGGATAACCACCCTGAAAGTGGGGAGGGGGGAGAAGATGGGGGAGGAGATGGGGGAAGAAGGAGGTGATTTTTTCCCAACTCGACTCTTTCAAGAGCCCCAGGTTGGACACTGGTTTGTTTCTTGGCGCCCATTAGTTTGAGAAGCCATGAGTCGTCGCTGTCAATGTAACTAAGAGATTCAGTTTGATTGTCCGACAAGTTCACAATGTTGATAAGCGGATATGTAAAAATGCGTATAGATCTAAAGGAGTTTCAGTGCGCGGGCGCACGGGCCGCCTTGCGGTTTCAACCAGCAAAAAATATAAAGAACGTTTTGATGTAGTCTTTGCGATTCCGAATTGAGCCAGCTCACCCTTTGTGTGTCATCTGAGTTGGTTGCACTTGCATGTTGCATCGCACAAGCAGCTGTGGTGGCGCCCTTTCAGATTCGCTTCAGCGGGTCGCCAGCATTCCATGAAACGTATTAAAATCCTAAGGAAAAATTGTTTTGTGCTGTCAAATGGAAGGCGGTACTAACGGTCAGCTCCAGGGTTGGAAACAATTTCCGGCTTGACTCCCGAAATTTCTTTCTGGTCAGAGCTTGCAATTGCAACGAGCAGAACACGAACTTCAACCTTTAGCTGTGTTAATTTCGCGTTCACCTAGTACTTGGGCTCGACGCAGATAAAGCAGAACCTGCGAGACGCTATGACGCCAGATGAGTGGAGGAAGCTTATGTGTGCTGCTGTTGCAGACGCTGGCCTGGGTTCTGTTGGGCTGGACGAAGATGACATAGATAAGCTCTGGGCAGCGAAGTACAACACCGCTGACCGTTTGCGGACTGCCAGACGGGAAGGGCTCGTCGACGCGCGTCTGGCGCCTGGCGTGGTGGATGCTATTATAGGTAAATCCTAAGCGCGATTCCTTCTCAACTCATACCTTGCCGAAGAGTCCGCGTTGCGTGTGCTCCGGCTACTATTGGTCGCTCTCAATTTGAAGACAAAACCAACTTAAGCAACCTGTGTGCGCACACATTGAACGGGGTTGGCCATTAGGCTGGTTGTTTTTTGGGGTACAT